CTCTTTGTCTGGGGATGTTCTCTCCCTACCAGCAGCTGCTCCTTTCCCAGCACTGGCTCGCTTTATGCAATGCGTTCTTCATCTTGGCCCCTGTGGAAAGCGGCCACCTTTCTTCACAAGCAAGCGCAGTCCTTTGGGGCGGAGACCTTGAGAGGCCATCTTCCTCATCCTGGGACGTGGTCGTGGGAGGGGCGGGCCCCTAGGTGAGAGAGTGGCGGGTGCCAGGCCCGATGTGCGAGCGAGGGCTGAGCGGGCAGTAACCCTTCTGGCTCTTGGGCAGGTGGCGGTGTCTTGGGGAGAGCCTGCTGGCCACTTACCAGCATCTGACCACCTGTGAGCCGCCACGGCCCAGCCTCGGCAAGAGGGTGGACCTGTTGGAGTACCGAGACCTGGAGCAGCACTCAGAAGCCCTGACGACGCCCGCTGCTCCCTTCAGCGTCATCCAGCCCACTGTGGTCGTCAGCACCACCACCACCACCACCACCAGCCCTCTGGTGTCTGTGGCGGAGCCGCTGCTCGCGTACACCCCAGTGACCCCCACCTTTCCCAGTCCGAATATGCTGGAATCCATCAGTGCTGCAGGTGAGCCAGAGAGGGGTGCAGCAGGTCACGTTCTAATTAAATGTCGCCGCTCCCTTCCTGGTGGCCCCCATGGATGGCTGACTTCCTGAAGGTCCTGTCTCGAGGCTGTGGCTTCCTTTTAGGAGCCTATCCATCTCATACTCAGTCTCCTGTTCTTCCTGCTGCTCTGCCGCAATGTATCAGCCTTGGGAAGTTTCTTCCTAGAGGGAATCGCAAAGGATCCGAAATGACTTTCTGACCCGTTGCGCTGCCTCTTTCACCAAGGGGCCCACGAGGAAGCCAGGCTGGTTGGGCGACACAGGCCTCCAAATGCTGGGAAGGGTCCAAGGGGGCAGAGAGAGCAGGAGACCCACCCGCCTGCAGCCCCCCAGGCTGGTGGCCTCCCCTGCCCTCAGGACTCTGGCCCCAGGGGCAGGAGCGGGAGGCGTCCTTTGGTTGGGGGAACTTGTGCAGCTGCTTTTCTCGGGAAGCTTCAGGCCAGCTGTGGGCCTGGTGCCTGGAGGAGCCTCTTTGGCGCTGCCTCGGAGCACCCGCCGGCAGAGGGTAAAGGATCAAGTGGCATCTCTTCGGTCAATAAAGATGCCGGAGGGGTTGGGCTGAGAAAGTGGGTCCTTGTCGGAGAGCTGGAAGTTGGATGGGAGATGTTCTGGGTTTTCTTAGGTGATGGCTCTGTGGGGGACAAGTCCAAGAAAGGGGTGAAGCGGAAAAGGGTCGCTGAAGAGAGCGGCGAGACGGCCAAGAGGCGCTCGGCCCGTGTGCGGAACACCAAGAGCAAGAAGGAGGAGAAGGTGGACTTCCAGGAGCTCCTGGTCAAGTTCCTCCCTTCACGGTGAGGCCGCTGCCGGCTGGGCTGGGCTGGGCAAGGGCCCAAGGAGGGGCACCGAGCGGTCCCTGGGCCTCTCCCAGGGCAGGGCTTTTGCTGCATGCGTGGCGGTGGGGGGGGGGAGAACCCTTCTGCGTGAGGGCTCTGTGGGCCCTCAGGGGGCATGGCCGGCTCAGGAGGGGCAGGCAGGGAGCGTGGGAGGCGTTTCACGGCACTTGGACACGGGCCGGGTGGCCCTGAACCCACCCGCGTCTGAGGAGGGGAGGTGCCTGGGAAACAGCAGGGCCAGAGGGGGTGCGGGCTGAAATCTGTTGCTCTTCCGCTTTGCCGCAGCCTGAGGAAGCTGGATCCGGAGGACGACGACGGCCTTTTCAGCAGCTGCGAGGTCCCGTCTGAGGCCAAGGAGGAGAATGCCCACTCCAGTGGCTCTTGCCGAATGTCGGTCGACCAGTCTGCCTTCATGGAATCAGGTAGGCGCTTCCCCCGGCTGCCTCACACGAGGGGACCTTCTGTTGGCTCGGTTCAAACCTTGGCTTGATCCGCTCGGCCTCTGGCTTGGTTCCAGGAGCTGCCCCTCCCGGTGCGGGATCTCCTGGCCGGGACTGGGTGGGCGGCTCTGATGTCCCAGGAGGCGTCTCTTGTGGCCTTCTTCTCCGGCACATGGCACTGATTTGTCTTCCAGAAAAACAGGATGTCCACACTTTTCTCCTGGCTAACCTGAGCAACGGAGGCATCCTGGAACTGATGATGAGGTACCTGAAAGTGATCAGCCAGAAGTTCCTCGTGAAGTGGCCTCCGGGCTTGTCCGAGGTGGTCTTGAGCGTCTACAACAGCTGGAGGAAGCACACCAGCAGCCTCCCCAACCCGCTCCTGAGGGACTGTCACAACCAGCATATCAGAGTAAGGCGGTGCATGCCCGCTGTGGCTTGTCCTTCTCCCTGGTGAAGGGCCCCTGCCAGGAAGGGAGAGAATGGCAAAGCTGGGTTCTCCCTTCCAGATGCAGCCTTCAGCCGCCAGGCCCCAGCCTTGCCTCTTCCATGAACTTTGCCCAGGTCAGCAGGGGAGTTAGCAAGACATGCGTTACTCCTTCCCCTCCCCCCATTTCTTGAAAAGAAGGTGCTGCAGGTGTTTTTGGGCTTTGTGTGTGTGTGTGTGTGTGTGCGCGCTTTGCGAGGGGGTGGTTAATGGTCTTTCCAATATGTTGCTCTAGGGGCCACCTGCCACCATTCTGTTGTAATTGGGCCATAGCCAGCTCTGTAGGGACGCAGCCTGCTCATTTATTTTATTCTGCTTTCTTGTATTTGAAATACTTTACCCCACCTTTGTTCCTGCTCTGTCTTCTCTTTTCTGTCTCTTACCAAATAAGGGACAAGAGAAGCGCTGTTTCTGAATCGTAATAAGCAATGCACGTAGCCCAGTCCCCTGTGGTTGGTTGGTTGGTTGGTTGTTTTTTCCCAGCCGAATGTCCTGCTCACCAGTGGAATGAACAGGAGAACTGCCTGCCCCAGGCCACTCTGTCCAGCCAGGGCTTTTTGGACGGCCTGCCTTTGTCTTTCCTCCAGGAGATGATGCTGATGAGCCTGTCCTGCATGGAGTTGCAGCTGGACCAGTGGCTCCTGGCTAAAGGGAAGAGCTCCCTGGGTGAGTGTGGGTTGGAGCCCCTGGGAGGAGCTGCCTTCAGCCACCTGCCTGCCTCCGTGAGGGCAGGGATTGTTTTTCCAGGGAGATCTGATTCCTGTCCCTCTGATTTGGCTGCTGCGGAGGGAGGAGGAGGAGCGGGATCTCCTTTAGTCAATCTCGGGCTCTGCAGGGAGAGGTTCGTCTGGTGTCTCCAAGGCTGAGGCAGCCGGGGACACCTTTGCTCGCCCCAAGAGGCTGAAGAGCGGCTGTGGCCCAGCAGAGAGTCGGGGGCCGCGCGTTCCTCTGTGATGAGCTGAGGAGGTCGAAGGGGAGCTGCTTTGCTTCCTCTGCCCTCTGAATGAGCAGCTCCTGGGTGTTCAGAGGTGCCCCTTGGGACCCCCAGCACATGGATCTTCCGGGGAGCAGGGAAGAGCCAACCGTAAAGTGAGAAATGCTTCTTTTCAGTGTCTCCCCGGAGTGGCCACGCAGCCAACGTGGTGAACGGCAAGTTTGGCCCAGATTTCCCAGGCACCCACTTCCTGGGGGACCTGCTGCAGCTCTCCTTTGCCTCTTCTCAGCAAGACCTCTTTGAGGAGGGCTGGCTGGAGTTTGTGGTTCGTGTGTATTGGCTGAAAGCTCGCTTCCTGGCCCTACAGGTGTGTATGTTAAGACCATCAAGCAAACAGTTTGCACATGTGTCTTAAATCTCAGCACTGTGACAAGTGAACAGCTGGCATCTTATGAGTAACCCAATGATCTTGCTCTGATCCTGAATCCTGGCCCTTTTCTGAGTGGGTGGATGTTTGGCATCTGGTTGTCATGGAAGCACTGTTGAAGGTCAGGTCAGGAATGTGGAATTTCTAGCAAGGGGATTTAGGATAGTCTGATCAGGGCCAGCAGAGAGATCATGAAGCCGAAGGCCAAACTGCGGCAGGAGGGAGCCAGGTGGGAGGCGGCTGATTAAGGTGCTGAACGGTGTGGGATGTGCGGGTCCTGGAAGGTACCCATGGCCGTGGCTGGCGGTGCTGGAAGGTGGTGTGGTTGTTTCCTCAGGGAGACATGGAGCAGGCCTTGGACAACTACGAAGTCTGCACAGAGAGGCTGCAGAGTTCGGCTGCGAGGCAGAGCACGGCCAGGGCCAGCGAAGAAGAGGGCGTTGTCATCAGGTTGCCAAATCTCCACGTGGACTCGGTGGTTTCCTTGGAGGAGGTGCGTAAGACCCTCTGTTGGCTGCTTCTTTTGCCATAGTGTGGAATGTGGCCACCCTTATCTCACCGCAGAGGAAGAACTCCCAGCTTCGGAGATATTAGGGGTGCAGAGGCTGTGGGAGAGCCCCAGTTCAGGCTCCAGGGCCGCTACTCTGAGCGGGTAGGGGATGGAAATGCCTCAGAGCAAGATGCTGGCCGGCCACCTGTGGCTAAGGGCGGATGGCGCCTGTTGCTGGGAGGCCGATTGCTGGCTGATTGATTGGTTGAAAATATTTTACCCTGCCTTTCGCCTTAAGGAGGACCCAAGGGGGCTTATATCATTAGCAGGCAATATTTAAAGCTAAGAAACAGTGAGTGTACAATAACCAAAAAGGATCAAAGAACTGCCAAATTACCACACTAAAAATGATCAACAAAAGCAACACCAAACACACATTCAAAGCAGTCATACAACAGCCATCAATTGAAGAACTTCACTTTGGACACCAGAAAGCTTTGTGGGTTTGAGTCGCAGCAGTGTGATCTGGGGCTCTCGTTTTAAGAAACGGTGGCATTGACTTAGAAGCCACACCAAGCCGAGGATCTTAATGTGGACTCCCCTGGACCCACGGTGTGGTCTCCGCAGCCACTTCATGAGGGAAATGGTCTCTGTCTCTCTTGTAGATCGACAAGAACCTCAAGTCCCTGGAGCGGTGCCAATCACTGGAGGAGATTCAGCGCTTATACGAGGCAGGGAATTACGCGGCTGTGGTGCACCTGCTTCGCCCGACGCTGTCCTTCAGCGGCTATGGCCAGACGAAACACTTGGAGTTTGTCATCTCCATCCCCGAGAGGCCCACGCAGCTCCTCCTGCTCCAGGTTGGCCATCTTCCTCCCAGTAGCTGCCGGCAGGTGGTCAGAAAGTCCAGCACAAGGGACCGCACCTGCTTTGGCTCAGCTCTCTCTCCAGAGACCCCTGTGTTTTCTTCGCCCTCCTTAGGACTCCCTGCTCAGGCTGAAAGACTACAGGCAGTGTTTTGAATGCTCTGAGGTTGCCCTGAACGAGGCCTTTCAGCAGATGATTAACCTGACCGAGTCTTCGGCCAAGGAGGAGTGGGTGGCCACTGTCACACAGCTGCTCCGCGGGATCGATGGCTCCCTTTCGTCCCAAGGCAGCAGCATCCTCGGCGAAACCTCCGTCTTGCAGAGCCTCGTCCGCCTAACCAGCAACCTCATCCAGGTATCCCGACCTATGGATCATCTGCCCCTACACCTGGGCGGTTCCTGTACCACCTGCTGGGTGGCTGCTTAGTGGGCACTTCTGCATTGGGTCATTCTTAGGGTTGATTCACTCCTTTTCTTGAAAAGGTCTGTCGACACCTTGCAGGTAAAATAGGCAAAAGTGAAAAGCAATAAAGATCCACCTAGGGGCCCAGCTAGGTGGCGAGGAGTTAGAGGGTCTGATTAGAGTGCTCCGGAGAGAGCCAGTCAAGAGGTTCCCCCTGGGTGATGCTGGTCCAGTTATGTTCCCTCAGCCCGACCCTTGCCCCCCCCCAAAAAAAGGGCACTGAGGTGATAAAAAGTTGCCAGAGAGAAGAACACCTGCTCACAGCTCCATGGGAGACCAAGTAGAACAGAGCCCTGTAAAAGGATCTGGAATAAACAGGAGGGGAGAATAAACAGCTTCCCCAAAGAACCGATCATAAAGGGACTCAACACTTCCTGGTGATGGAAGGTTTAGGAACAGTGTGTTGCCTTCCATCTGGGGAGAACTGCCCAGCCTTTTTTGGGGGAGGGGGAGGAGCCGCTTGGGGGCAAGGGCCATCATTCCAAAGTGTGCACTGGGGAGGCCGGAGGGTCACAGACCGGAAGGAAGACCAGGCTGCTTGGCTGGGTGGGTGGGTGGGTTGGAGGAGGGGTCGGATTTATTGTCCTGCCAGCTCACTGTCGCGCCCAACTTCCCAATCCCTGTCTTCCTTGGCTGTTACTTCCAGCGCCTGATCTTTAAATATGGGTTGCAGTTTCAAGCCCAGGAAGTCAGCTCTTGCAGGCACAGAGAGTAGGGTGTGGTTTGTAGAGTTTGTCTTGGGGCGGGGGGGGGAACGGACGATGACCATCACATCTAACGAGGCCTCCTTGAATGGACAGATCATCGACTGCAGCATGGCTGTGCAGGAGGATCCCAAAGAGCCTTCGGTGTCTTCCGTCCTTCCCTGGATTATTCTCCACCGGATCATTCAGCACGAAGAGGACAATTTCCGGTCCCTGCAGGAGGAGCAGCAGCTGCAACATCCAAGCGAGGAAGGTGGGGAAAGGGGCTTCCTTGTTCTTCCCTTCCTGCCCCCTCCCCTCCCCCCCAGGGGGGCCCTTGAGAAGAGAGGGGGGGCAAACAGCAAACAGAACAGGCGGCACAAGTCAGAGGTATCTTCTCAACACTTCCTTTCGGGAAGGTTTCTTGCATCTTTTAATACGATGTTGAACTTAGAAACTTCTTCGTCTTCTTTTTTTGTTTGTATTTTTATATCTCTTTGAGTTCTCTTGCTTTTGGATGCTTTGCTGAGCACTTGGGAGGTCCTTCCTGGGACTGAAGCAGGGTCTAGAAAGGCTCTTCTTAGTAGGGAAAAAAAGGTTACAAAAAGCTAGAAACAGGTCCGGTTCCATATGACGTGTTCGCCTCCTTCCAGAGGGTAGAACTCCGACCCTTCTCCTCTTGCTCTCTGGACAGCGGCTCAGAACCTGGACACGCCGATGCTTCCCTCCTCCCTGATGCTGCTGAACACGGCGCACGAGTACCTGGGGAGGCGGTCGTGGTGCTGCAACTCGGACGGAGCCCTCCTGAAATTTTATGTGAGTGGTGGTTGGTGTGACGCAGAGAGCGAGAGGCGCCTCCTCTGTGCATCTCCTCGGGTTCAGCCCATGTTCTGGTGCAGTAGGATCCATGGCACTTTTGCAGACCCAGAAAACAAAATGCCCTCCACAGCCCCCCAGGCCAGTCCGTGGGGCCCAGCCTTAAAGATGGATCTTTCCATGGGGCTGGATTCCCTCCCGGGCCCAGACGCATCTCAGGAGGGCCGCTATTCCCCATGGCTTGGCAGCAGCCTCGCACTGTGGCCTGTCTTGTTCCTCTCAGCCGCCCAAGGTAGGCGTGTGCTCCTCCCCCTGCTTCCTGGTTCACCTCTTCACTCTGTCTGAAAGCATTTTTCTTAGAGAAAAGTGGGAGAGAAACTGCCAAGTAAACCCAGCCTTGGAGGGGTGTGTTCAGTGCTCCGTGAGATGTTCAGCCCAGGGCCCGACTGGCACATCAGAAGCCTCCCAGCAGTGGCGTGCACAGTCACCCCCCCCCAATAATCCAGTGCACTGGGGAGGAGTGTGTTAAACCTCTCCTCTGTCTCCCCTCTGCCCTCCTGGCAGCGAAATGGCTCTTTAGGGAAAGAGCATCTTTTCCCAGCAGCTTACCAGATGTTCTCTTGCTCTCTGTTTGGGGAGGAGAGGAGCTTTCTTTTGGCCCCCAGCAGGGAACAGGCGTGCCCTCTCTTGGTCCTCGCCTTCCCTACATGTGTCTGAGACCCACACCTTGCTGGCCCTATCAGGCCCCTGCCAAGAGGCTTCTGCTCCTGGCAGAGGTTAGAACTGATCTTAATCCCTGGGTTGCCTTGTTTGCGCAGATTGCAAATGAGAAATGGGTGCCATCCTGCTGCAAAGGAAAACGGGTCCCTGGTCTGACCCTGTGACAGGCCGGTCACTTTTTGGCCTTTCAGTCCCTCTTGATGGGAACTGAGCCATTTTCCTGACTAAATTCTGGGGGCCCTTCCTTGAAACGGAATTTCCAAGGCCTTAACATAGTTGAGCAGTACAAGATTTGGGACGGGCAGGGGCTGGGCAACCGAAGTCTCTCCCCTAAGCAGGACTGGGCTCTGTCGTCGTCCAGCGGAGAGGCAGGTCCTGTCAAGTTCCTTCTCAGAGGGGAGGGAGTGGGGGACTGGAGACCCACCTGCCAGGTGGGCCGAAGGGGCAGGAGGAAGAAGCACAAGGGGGGGGCGTGGGGGTGTTCATCGCCCCCTGGGGTCTGCTTTGTGGTTCCAGGTGCGGGTGCTGCAGAAGGAGCTTCTGGCCTCCACCTCCGAGGACACCCACCCCTACAAGGAGGAGCTGGAGACGGCGCTGGAGCAGTGCTTTTATTGCCTGTATGGCTACCCCAGCAAAAAGAGCAAAGCCCGGTACCTGGAGGAGCACTCCACCCAGCAGGTGAGAAAGGAGGGCCAGGGACCAAGGGCGGGCAGGCGCCCGAGCGGGAAGGCCAGCCTCTCTCCCATCAGGGGTGGCGAGGGTGGTCGCTTCATCGGGTCTTGTGTCCTCTGGCCACCCGTGGCCAGCCAGGAGGTTCTGGAAGGCCTGCGGTGAGGGCTTCCTGGTGCCTTCCCACCTGCCGGCACCAGGAACCTGGCCTCCCCACACACACACACACACACACACATACCTCCGCGGTGCGGCTGTGTTCCGAGTGCACCTTGGCATTTAGGTTCAGTTTTGGGCCAGACTAAGGGGGGAGGGGGAACGCTGTTCGTGGTGGTGCACCTGTTGCCCCTCCCACGGCGGGATTTTCTCAGAGAGAGAGAGAGGAAGAGCTGCCTCATCAGTCAGATGGGAATCAAGTCGAACTTTAGCTGCCAGGGACAAATCACAAAACACAAAATGCAAGATGGAGAGATAAGGGAGGTTGAGCCCGACAGCCAAGAGGTGTCTGGCGTGGGCCCTGAAGGAGCGCCTCTCGTGAAAGGCAGGCCCCTGGCTTGACCCTGAGCGTGACGGGGCCCGTCCCTCACCAGCGGCAGGACAAAAACCAAGGGGCTTTGCCACGTGGCCCAGAGGGGTGTGGCTGGACTGGGCAAGACCCGGAAAGGATGACGCGCCGCTCCCGCTCCCCCAGCGCAGGCGGAGGTGGATGCAAGGCTGCCCTGGCTCGGCCTGGCCCCGGGCAGCTCTGGGCATGCCAGGGGGGGTGTCTCTCTTGCCTCACACCTCTTGTGTGTGTGTGCGCACACGCACGCGCTTGTTCCCCGCTCTCTCCCAGGTGGAGCTGGCGTGGGAAGATGCCTTGTTCATGTTCGAGTATTTCAAGCCCAAGACCCTTCCCGAATTTGACAGCTACAAGACGAGCACCGTCTCGGCCGACCTGGCCAACCTGCTGAAGAAGATGGCCACCATCGTCCCCCGGACCGAAAAGCCCATGCTCCGGCTCGAAGAGGTCTCCGGCTACATCGAGGGCACGCTGGGCAAGGTAAGGGGGTTAGGGGGTGGGCGGCGGGAGGCCAGCAGGAGCCAGGGCAAGGATTGGATACTGGGCTCCCCCTCCCTTCAGCCCAGGGAGGGGCGCCTGCAGAGGGGGGACCTTTGTGTGGGCCGAGGAGGGGGGAGCTCAGCCACACGCCAGGAGATGCTGCAGGCACGGAAGCCCAGCAAGCCAAGTCCTGACTCCTCTGGTCAGGATCACGTCTTCCTCTCCGCTGCAGGCGGAGGTGGACGGTGGGTGGAGAGAGTGGGGGACGTCTGGCAAACCAGCCCTGTCGGAGCTGGACTGCTCTGATGGGGGTGGGGAGCAGCCAGGAGCTTTCATCAGATCAGGATGAGGGACATAGAATCCTAGAACAACAGAGTCGGGAGGGGGCCTCTCAGGCCACAGAATCCAACCCCTGCTCAAGGCAGGGATCCCAAATCAAAGCAGGCGGTGGTTCCGTTTTCCCTTGAGTGCCTCCAGGGTTGGAGGGCTCACCACCTCCCCTTGAGGTCAAGGGTTCCCTTGTCGTACTGCTCTAGCAGTTAGGAAGTTTTCCCTGGTCTTCAGCTGAAATCTGGTTTCCTGTCGCCTGAGCCCATTTTGACGTGTCCTGCCCTCTGGGATGATGGCTACATCGAGGGCACACTGACCCTCCTCGGTCAGGCGGCACACAGCACCTTTAGATCTGAGGGCCACAGTCTTCCTCCAAGGAGGCCCCAAGGCCTTCTTCCCGACAGGGGGCTTGACCCAGAAGGTCAGGGTGGGGGATGTTTCCGGCCCATGAAGTTTAGAGCTGCCGTTTCTCAGCTGGCCGGGGTCTGGCCATTTCCCTTCCGCAGCAGGGAAGACGGTGCTCTCCCTTGATTGACAGGTGCCAGCACTCCCAGAGGGGGCCGATTCTTGTCCACCTGTCCTGACGGAGCTCTACTACCTCCTGGCCGACTACCACTTCAAGAACAAGGAGCAGTCCAAGGCCATCAAGTTCTACATGCATGACATTTGCATCTGCCCTAACAGGTCAGGCCAGGGCCCCCCTTCCCTTCCCTTCCCTTCCCTTCCCTTCCCTTCCCTTCCTCTTGCCTGGGGCTGCCCTCTGGCTGCTGACCCCTGGCAAGGGGGATTGGGGATTTGGGGAGGATTCCTAAAGGCTGGCCCCCTCTGGTCTGGTCCACCTTGGCTTCCCTCCTTGCCCCCCCCCCACCGGAGTGGCGTCCCATGGCAGGGATCCTCTCCCTCCTTCGGAACTGACTGCCTCCGAGGCTCAGTGGGCAGGGGAGGCCTGCGGCGGAGGGTCTTCCCGGCCTCAGCTGCCACCACCGTGGCCGTGGGCGGCTCTTTGGCCTCTTGCAGCTTCCTGCCCGCGGGTGAAAGGGCCGGTGCTCGGGGCCCTCTTCCCCGGTTCTGCCACTCAGGGGCTCGCTCTTCCAGAGGGTGAGGGTGTGAAATGGGTTGATGCACTGAGTGTGCCTTTCTGTGTGGTTTTTAAAATGTACTCTCGTGGTGGGGGTAGGGGAGTCAGGATCCTCCAGTGGCCACGGATCTAGGCTGGATGTCCTGACACGGCTGATTCCTTCCTTGTTAGGATGATGAGTGAGAAGGAAGAGCAGAAGGTGGAGAGCTGCACCCCAGGTTTAAAGAACCTTAACTGCAGACTGTCCAGGGCAGGAGCATTCCACAGTCCTCACGGGGTGGGTGGGACCCGCAGAACAGTCCTGATTTGAGAAAGTGGGGTACAGGAAGAGGAGGAAGGTGCCGAGGAAGAGGAGAGAGCAGAGGGGCCGCCCCCCCCAAGACAGCACCGTGTTCTGCGTTGCTCTTCCAGATTTGATTCCTGGGCCGGCATGGCGCTTGCCCGGGCCAGCCGGATTCAAGACAAGCTGAACTCGAATGAGCTGAAGAGCGACGGCCTCATCTGGAAGCACGCCACCCCAGTGCTGAACTGCTTCAAGAGAGCCCTGGAGATCGACCGCTCCAACCTCTCCCTCTGGATCGAGTACGGCACCATGTCCTTCGCCCTGCACTCCTTCGCCTCCAGGCAGCTGAAGCAGTGGCGGTCGGAGCTGCCCCCGGAGGTGGTGCAGCAGGTGAGGGAGGGACGGAGGGAGGGAGGGTGGCCGGGG